CCCAAGTCTTGATTCTTGCCAACCTGCGCCTAATACTTTCCTAAATACGGTAAACAGGATACGTCCCTTCAAGGAGAGAGTGCGCATTCCATTCCCACAATCTATCTCTGGGATTTCCATGTGTAGGTGGGGTGCGTGGAAATCTCAGTTTGGTTTGGATTCTCTTAAGGATGGTGATGAGCTTCTGCATGTGTCTCAGACATCTGGCTGCCCAAAAAGAAGTTTGGAAATTAAGTTGTATTAAGAGTCCAACAAACAAATTCAACAAAGTATGGTTAAGTGATCGCTCTAGAAAGTTTCCACTGCATTTTCTACCCCATATCTTCAATCATTTTTCTGTTAACTATCTTGCTTGTTCTTGCTGACATATTGAGTCTTCTCCCTGAGAACAGATAGAGCATTTTGATAAGCTATGGGAAACTTTTTACGGAACAAAGAACATTTAGGTTGCGTGCCTTTAACCACTTTTATATACTGCAATAAATATTTGCTATGTGAAAAGAGAATACTGGTATCTCTCCTTCCTCTCCCCCGATTTCTTAAATGTCAAATTCAGTGCTATGACCGTAAGAAGGCTGTGGTTGGACTTCTGGTCTGAATAGGGATAGCAGTAGGATTACCATTGGCCTCAGTCATATAAAAGATGCAAAATGCATTCGCTACCCTGAGTGAAGGGTGCTGTATAAATGCAAGTTGTTGTTGTTGCATGCGGATCCTTTGATAGAACTATTGAATCTAGCTATATTTCTCTGCGCCAGTTCTCCTGAGACCCATCCAAGTGGTGCTTCAGTACTTCAATGGTATCAAGTTGCCTTCAGTATCAAAGCTAGAACCAGTAAAACGTCCCCAGAAATACAACTACCTTAAAATTGCGACCAAGCTTGATACACAGCATTGGAATTGGACCTCAAGAACATCAAAGTGACTGAGATCACAAGCTGTTCTGTGTAGGTCTTTCACAATGCTGAAGGCAGATGTCCGTTGAATAGCTTAAGAAGCAAGTCTGAGGCACTTCTTACATGCAGAAATATTGCCCAATTCATAGGGATGTTTGTCCAAGCTGCGGACAGGAGGATGGTGGCAATGTTTTTAAGCATTTCACGCTGAGTTGCATTGCTCACCAGGAAGCTCGCAGGGAATTCTGAAAGTAGTTAAGCAGGATGCATCCCTCCAGAGAGAGGGAGTGTGCATTCCATTCCAGCCACAAAGAGATTTCTATGCATATGTTGGTATGCGTATGTGGAACTCAGTCTCGTTTAGTTAAGTATGATGATGGGTTTCCACATACTGTATGTCAGATACTCAGCTGACCAAATAAGCATTAACACATAAGCAGCAAGGTATCCGTCTTGCACGCACAATTTGTATTGCGGCTTCATAAGAGCTCAAGGCATTTGAGGGCAGGAAAAAGGCCTATCAATACAGTCACTTTTAATAAAATTCTCAGGCCCAGCCTTCCTGCCGTATCCTTCAAATTCTTCTCGTTGCTCGAGTTGCTTCTTGAAACGATTTGTACCATCTGCTTCAATGGCATGTAAATTCCACGCCTATTAGCCTTTGTGCAAAAAAAGTTCTGACTCACTTGTTAAAGTCATGTCTCCTGATGTCTGAAACCTTCACCAAATTGAACAATTTGCCAGGATCTACCTAGTCAATCCCATCCATATAGCTGTTCTATTATCTCGGTAGCTCATCTTTGTATCCTCTCTAGGGTAACGATTCCTTCCTGATGTAAGGAGCCAAAATTGCATGAAGCATTCCAGATGGAGCCAGAACAACACTCTATACCACAATACCACCATTTGAATTGTGCTCTATTCCTCAGCAAATGTAACCCAATGCCGCTCTGCCCTTTTTACTCCCGCAAAGAATAAGGTTGACAGCTTGATTGATTTATTCACCGTAACCCCTAGATTTCTTTCCTGATTTGTTCGGTGCATGACTATTCCATTAACACATTGTTCCCTCTTTTCATTCCTTGCTCCCACACTAATTATTTTATACTTATCCACATTCAAACAACATCTGACATCTATCAGCCCTACTGCCCAAAAGATTCAAACCCTTCCAGTTCCACCAGTGTTTTTCATTATTATTTACACTGCGTCATATTTTGGCATCATCCAAAAGGATGGAGATTCTGTTCAGGAAACCCACATTAAAGTCACATTGTATACATGTACATTTATGACATGTAGTTAAAACAGCCAAGGCCCTGAGACAGGCCTCTGAGGTAACCATTTGTAGCCTTTCTCTAAATATAAGAGTATCACAGCCTACACATTGCCAAGTGAATGATGCCAACGCAATGATACAAAAAATCTTTACATTTGATGGCGTTTTTCACATGGAAAGGTCACCTTAAAGCCTTTAAAGGATTTACGGTGGAGTAGTCTAGGATTAGGTATTTTGTAAATGGAAACAGCAGCCAATTTGCAAACAACAAAGTCCCACAAACAGTTGTGAAGTGAATCACAGACCATTTATAATATAATAATAACCCTTGCATTTGATATAGCATCTTATCGCGTCTTCGAGACGTCTCAAAGCGCATCTTATTATTTATGTATTGTAGTAATGGTACTCCCAAGAGCCAGAGCACCCCATCACACGCAGTGAACATTACATTGCCAGGACAAGTGAGACTGTGTGGCTTAATGTAGTGGTTACCCAATGTAGCAACAGCATTAGGTCACTGAGAGTGCACTCCAGCTTGTGATGGGAAGGAACCTTGCTTTCTCATGTGAAAAATTCAATGCCACAGCCATTAATTGTGTGTGTCTGTTTGGAGGGAAACTCTACAAAAGAAATCTTTTAAATAGATGCCAGTTAGATTTCCTCTTAGGAGAGGTAGCCTAGAACTGCACTTGGATTTTCACTGCGAACGATTCATTTATATTCTTGGATCTGATATTATGCAACACACTATTGTTGTTAAACCTTCAGGGAGGGTGCGACTTACAAAAACATTTATGCTTCCAGACCACAAAACATCTTGCATGTCGAACGATGCCACAGTCTTACAATTCTTTGATTCTTTTGGGGGATGTGTGTTTAAATACATTCCAACATGTTACGTCATATTGGCAAAGGTACGTGGGACGTTCTGTATTCAAAATGTAAATGGGCCATGGAAAGAGATTCACTGTATAGCTATAAAGAGCTGCTTTCCTGTCCAGTCTTCCATTTTTTGGCATTGAAGAAATATTTCAGGTAATAAAGTAATACTTTGGGATTTCGAGTCGAGTTTTACGAATGCAGTAAATGTTACCCTTTGAATTCCAAATATATGTTGATTTTACAACTTACGTAAAATGAGCTACACTTTCCAGGCAATAAACGATTAAAATTACTAATTAAACTGTCTAGTAACAAGGCAACAGTTGTGTATTTAGTCCGCGATGTTTAGAGCTTTCCGCTTCTGCAGAAGATCCAGACAGTTGTAGCCAGAAATGCTTTGTGCAGCTATAGACACATCTGCAAAATCATTTACAAAATATGGTCCCAGCGTTCTGTAGCTATTCATTGGTTGCTATTTCAGTTTGTTCCCGAAAGATAAACAGATTATTTAATTTAACATTGTGTATCGGATACTGCGCCATCAGAAAAATTGTCAGACATCAGACAAATACTGGTTTGATCATCTAAACTCGAAAGCTCATTGTTAACATATGTTCAAATATAATGCACAGCCTGTCACAAATATGAAACACTGGGGTGGAAATAGATAATGACGCTTGAATGTATGGAGTTGGAAAACCTGAACAGCTGATCACGATCTATTTAAAAGATTTCTTTTGTAGAGTTTCCCTCCAAACAGACACACACAATTAATGGCTGTGGCATTGAATTTTTCATCAAGAAGAGACACAGCAATTCGCATTTATATAGCACTCTTAACTCAGGCTCGTGTATCGGAGAGCTTAATTAATTCATTAATACAAAATATTAATAAGCCCTATTAACTGTGTTTAATCAGAGTGCTTAAAAGAACAACAACAAATCTACAATTATATTGCGCTTTTCATGTAGGAGGACGTCCCAAGTGCTGGACAGTCCAGAGTTTTCCCCCAAGCTGGGGGGGGGGGGGGGAAGATGACTAAAGGCATGGTCAAAGAGGCAGGTCTTGAGGAGGAACTTGAAGGAAGTGAGGAAAAGGGCGAGTCAAAGGGAATCTGGGATGGAGTTTTAGAGAGTTTCAGAGATAGGCTGAAAGCCCCGAACACCAATGGTGAGGTGAGTAGGATGGGGGACTTGAAGCAGGCCAGAGGGAGCTGCCGAGTTTGTAAGGTTTGAGAATGGGGTTTCCACCACAACAAAATTATATTTGGGAAGGGAGCGCGGCGAAGAGAATAGACGCTTCAAAAAGACTGACATGCATTTTATACTGCCTTAAGTCCACAACAAAAAAACCTTTGCATGTAATTACTGTCAAGTGTAAAGATTTTCAGGAAAATATGGAAATCTTAGTCCTCGCAAGGTCTCACAACCAGCCAAATAGTGAATGGTCCATTAGTCTGGAAGATTGTTGGCCAGGGAAGCAGGAGAAACTCCTTTCTCCTTTAAATACCTCAGTGGTCTATCAGATGAGTCTCTGAGTTGCCTTCAATATGATTACATTTTACATAACGCCTTTCACGTTGGTATGTCTTAAAGTGCTTAGAATTAGGGAGATTGAGAATTCAAAATTCAGTGCGTCTTTCTATTGCTGCAGATCAAAGGATACCTGAACACTTGACATTTTGGGTACAGGGGTATGGGGCAGGTAAAGGATTGCTTTTTAGGGAGCCAAATGGCTTTTTTCTGTGCTGTACATTTCTATGGTCCATAGTTTTATTTAGCAAAGATTGGGAAAGCTTTTAGTTGAGTTGTGAAGTTTTAAGGTTGCGTTAGATTTGGTCTAGTGTTCAGTAAACATCGCAAGACTTTTACACTAAAAACAGTGCAGAGCAGAGTTAAAATCATGTAATACATTTGCATCTCTCTTCTTCGCCCTTCAGCTTGAGAGCTACATTCAAGACAACATGAAGAGTGAGATGGTGCAGATGCAACAGAATGCAGTGCAGAACCAAACAGCAGCCATGCTGGAAATAGGAACAAACCTCCTCACCAAGACAGCGGAGCAAACCCGTAAATTAACAGACGTGGAAGCACAGGTAAAGAACTGGGATTTTTTTTAAAAACAAAACTCACTTGGTATCTCGCATAGTTTGCCGAAGCTGGAAGAGAACCAGTGTCTCACTATTGTTTCCTCTTAAAAACACACACAAGTTTCCAGATATTCTGTTTTTATGCCTTTCTCAAAGATTGCTTGTAATTGTCTTCTGATGGTACAAGACCTCCCAGGCTCACATGGTCGTATGATTCCTCCTTTCCTCTGTGAAAATAACACTTACTTGCCCTCATGCCTTCTCACAAAGGCCTCGATGACATCTGTAATTCACCAAAATTTTATTTCACCAAAAATGTGCGATGCAAGATGTAATAAAACAGGATATAATAAAACAGGAGAAAGTAGTTTGGAATTGCAGATGTGGAAACACAGTAGAATTAATTAAAGTTAGGTCAAAATGTGATAATAATAATAATACTAATAATAATTCTCTTTGACCGTGCTTTCAGCTCCCCTCTCGACTCTCTTCCCCCTCCTCGCTCCCTCCCTTCCCTCCCCTCACCCTGACCATTTCCCCCCTCCTCGCTCCCTCCCTTCCCTCCCCTCACCCTGACCATTTCCCCCTCCTCGCTCCCTCCCTTCCCTCCCCTCACCCTGACCATTTCCCCCCTGCTCGGGTCATGACCCAACTGTGCAGCGCCTTGGGACGTCCTCCTGACGTGAAAGGTGCTTTATAAATGGAATCTTGTTGTTGTTGTTGTTGTAATAATAATCCTTGCATTTGATATAGCGCTTTTCACGTTGGGAGGACTCCCAAAGCGCTTCACAGAATATACTGTAAAGTGAATTGACTGTATATTTGAGGGCGAACGCGGCAGCCAATTGCGCACAGCAATGTCCCACAAGCAGTCGTAGATTGAAAATGACCAATTTATTATTGTTTTTGGTTTTGGAGGGATTATTATTATTATGCGTGTGGAGTAAGGAAACTTGCCCAAGGTTTCGCCCTGACCTGCCTGGAATTGAACTCAGGTCTCTTGCTTGCAAAGCAAGTGCTCTAACCACTGAGCTACAGGACTCCACGATGCAGTTGGATTTATTCAAAGAAATACATGAATAGTCAACTGAGAAGTGGGCAATTGATTGAAAATGAAATTGACTGATCTGAACTCTTCCCAGCTGGACACAGGCCAATTTACACACATCTGATATACAGTAGTTGCAACAGCAAAATTGGTATTTTCAGTTCTCAACATATCCCTGTCGTTATGAAATTTACCCAATTAAAACAAATATAGGGTGAGTAAACAGAAGTATTCAATAATCTTATTTTCTCATTAAATGCATAATAGATTAAGTATGTTCCACAAAAAAAGTGAATGAATTTAGGCCTGAATTTTTCTTCTGAAAAAAAGCATATAAAAGGTACCAGACATTATAACTCTGCCAGTGAATGGTACTTTTGAATAATGCTCGTCAGATTATTACCTTCATCAACCATATATATTTATCATTAATGTCAATTCTGCTTCTAGATACTGGAAGCAAAGAGAACATCTTGAAAAGACTGAAGCCAAAAAAATCAGATTCCAAAAATCCACCATCCACAACAACAACAAAATTACATTTGTATAGCGCCTTTCACATCAGGAGGCTGTACCAAGGTGCTGGACAGTCAGAGCTGGGGGTTGGGATCGGGAAGGGTGGAGGGCAGAGGAGGGGGAAGGAGGGTAATTGAAGGCACGGTCGAACAGGAGGGTCTTGAGATGGTTCTTGAAGGAGGCAAGAGAGGGGGCGATGGAGGGACTGCGGGATAGAGTTCCAGAGGGTGGGGGTAGAGTGGCAGAAGGCCTGTCCGCCAATGGTGGAGTGGGCGAGACGGGGGACATGAAGCAGGCTGGAGCCCACTGAAAGAAGGAGCACTGATCCACAGACATAAATTGCAATTAATAATAAATAATAATAATCTTTGCATTTAGTATAGCACTTTATCAGGTTGTCGAGACGTCTCAAAGCGCTTAATAGTATATACTATAAAGCGCAGTGACTGTGTATTTTGTGGGCGAAATTCCATGTCAAAAAGACACTTGCATTTTGTTTAAGTTACCCTGATAGAGATTTAACAGGATTAAAATGTTTACAGTATTTCAGTTCTAGAAATAAATTCTAGTTCCCATTGAATGCACAATTTTCCCATTAACATGATTCATGCACAGGACACAACACCTGAAATAATATTCTGTGATCTAATTTACAAAGGTGTTTTGCTTTAGAAAAACAGTCGCTGATAAAAGTGATTTGCAAATTGTTTGGATTTCAGATGAAACTGGATTCTGTTAAATGTGAGGTTGAAGGAAAATTCCCACTGTTCGTGAACTTAACTTTACGAGTACTGAAGTTTGGTCAATGCTGGAGTCCAAAGATTCAAAGGCAAAATAAGGGCAATGAATGTGCAAGTGAGGAAGTTCAAAAGGGGTTCAAGCTGTGTTAATCGGCAAAGCCAGAACATGATTTTAATTTCAACCGCATTAAACTGTCACTTCTCCTTTCATCTAGACATAAAAGTCTAGCTTTCAGTTAAGGATGTAATTGACAACATAAGGGGATTAACCAAACTGTCACTTGCAGAAGGGAACTAAACTCTTTGCAAGGAAGCCTGATAAACAAAAGTGTGAAATTTGTCCATTGACATCTGGAGATGTCCTCAATTAACTGTTACTGACATGTATAGTAAATCTCACACGACTCTGCGCTATGTTATTAAAAGAATAATCTGAAGATGGGAAAAGCGCAACGTGGATGAATTTAAGATCAACTGGGGAGGTGAAACAGCACATCAATCACTGTTTAGGGAAACAGCACATCTCCTCCACCAACTTCGCATAAAGCTTGTGCATGTGACTAACACTAACTCAATAACTTACTGAACTTTTTTGTAATAATATTAATAATACTTGCATTTGATATTGTGCCTTATCAAGTCATTGCGATGCTTCAAATCGCTTCACATAATATACTGTAATGTGAATTGATTGTATTTTGGGGGCCAAACATTTCATGACCAAGGGAACCAGACCAGATTGAAATAAATGAGAAGAATTCATCCCAAAGTGGGGGATTTGATTTGTGAGAAATTTACATGCAACTATTTTAATCTTAATTATCCCTATGGTAGCTGGCTGTGTCAGCGGTACAATAAATAAATTCTGTAATTCTAATTCTGTGCTAGCCAAATAAACAGGAGCAAAACTAGGCATTAAAACTAAGAAAATGGGTGTTTACCCCGAAGCAAAACATATTTGGATGTTAAACAATGTAATCCAATTTGCAGTCTAAATGCATTCAGTAAAGTTTCAGTGTAGTTGCTACGCCAGGAACTGACAGACCAAAGCCATGATCCACATGGTCAAAGATGAATGAGTGACCTGACTTCAGGATAAAAACGTGACAATGAGAACGGTGTCAGGGGAAGTAGTAGATTCTCCAGCGCCTCCGGGCAATCCATATTTGATATTTATGGAATCACTTAATTTAAACCTATAAATTTCACTTTGAAAAGAGAATGGAGTGTCTCCTGGCGTCCTGGCCAACAACAACAAATTACAGTTGTATAGAGCCTGTCACGTCGGGAGGATGTCCAACAATCCCCCAAATAAAATTGGTCACTCACTCCATGACTGTTTGTGAGACACTGCTGTGCGGAATTGACTGCCGCGCTTTGCCCACAAAATACACAGTGAATCCACTATACAGGGTACCCTGGGAAGTACTTTGAAACGTCTCAATTGCGTGATAAGGTGCTATATTAAATGCAAGATTATTATTATTGTACCTTATTTTGAGATGAATTCCCCATTTATTTTCAAGAGAGACAAGCAAATACAATTCTCTCGCACGAATCTGTTAGCTTTGTTGCATAAATACAAATTAACGCCTTATCACGCCTTTGAGACATCTCAAAGTGTTTCACAGAATATACTGTAAAGTGAATTCACTGTATATTTTGTGGGCGAAACACAGCAGCCAATTACGCACAGCAGTGTCCCACAAGCAGTGGTGGATTGAATGACCAAATTATTTTTTATTTATATTGAAGGAATTATTATCCCAGAAAAGCGATCCGCCAATCGACTAACAACTAGGTTCCCACTTACTGCTAGGTAAACAGAGGCGTGTGGAGTAAGGAAACTTGCACAACGTTTCGCCCTGTCGGGAATCAAACCCTCTCACTTGTGAGGCGAGCGCTCTAACTACTGAGCTGTAGGACTCCACAGTAACTGGGTCATTTAAAAAATGTTAAATTCTCCCATTTAATTGTTTGCTCAAAATACACCGCAAGCCATCTGTGATCTGGGTAGGAATTTGAATTGATGTAACATAGTGCGTACATTCTTTCACAATTCACACAGACAGCTGATGCATCTGTAACCAAATAACTAATTAATCATCTGCAGCTTTTCTTTAAAAAATGGATAATTTTCTAGGGAGGAGGGATTATCTTAAACAATTCTGAACATCAATAAATATTCATTTCCCCTGCTTTGTTGACACGGTTAACATACAAGTAGTACCCATGTGTTATTCCAGTCCAGAATACTCTATTGCCAGAAAACCTTCTATTGCCCCCAACAGACCTATTCAATTAAATATATGAATGTTTTCTCTTTCTTCCACATGAGCAAGACAGATCAAAACTAATAATGCTTCAAATCTCCCTTGGAAGCTTTGCAAGTTAAAAAAACACGCATATTAATGCAAGCCCTTTCCTGTTTTAGTGTGAAAAGCAGCCTATGGCTCTCTCCCTTGTTGAATCGGACTTCCCGTGATATTTTGTTTAAAAAAAAGTTAATTCCTCCTGCATTTCTATCTTCAGGTCAAGTATCTTCCCATACTATTTTCTCCACTATCTGGACAGCTATTTCCATTACGAGGGAAACTGTGTTTTGCCCACAAAACATACAGTCAATTCACTTTACAGCATATTCTGTGAAGCGTTTTGAGATGTCTCAAAGATGTGATAAGATGCTATATCAAATGCCAGAATTATTATCATTATTTTTATCTCCCTCCATTTTTACCACAGAAGCACTTAGGGATTCAAATAAACATTTTGCTCTTGGAAGCTGATTCCCATCCTGAATATGCAAGAAGAATTCCGGCGGGTGGGGGGACGGGGGATTGGGCAGGGACAAAGGTTCTGTCTATCAGGTTTTACTTTCAGGCGATGTTTACAATTCAATCGTCTAAAAACCCTCAGGGGCACTGTTAATATGGGTATTTGTTGGGTTCTCATCACAAGCTGCAGTTCTCACAAACTTTGCCTTTCTAAAGTGCTGACAACAGTTTTCAATGTCACAAGGCCAATTGACAAAGCAGTTTTGAAATATACAATATAATTTACATTGTGCCTTTCATTGTGGGAGGACATCCCAAAGGACACATGTATAAATATCATGTCCACCATGTACACAATTTTCCCTGTTTCAAATATTTTTTTTTTTTGTCAGCCGGGTGTCTGACACGTGCAGAAACACATCATCATGCTTAAGAGTATTCAAACCAAACAGAGATTTCCGTGCATCCCACCTACACATGGAAGTCTCACAATAGATTGTTGGAATGGATTGCGCACTCTCTCCCTGGAGAGACGCATCCTGCTTGGCTAATTGCATAGCTTGCCATTAATATCGCTATCTGGTGGGCTTTCCCGCTGCTTGTCCAGCTAGGACCACCCTATCCATTAGGGCTTTGGCTTGCAGGATTAACAGGAGCTGAGTGGGTTGACTCTGCTCCCAGTGACTGGGATTTGAACCTTTCCAATAAGTGAAATGATAATCAACGAAAAGGAATATATTCTCTATTCAGACATCTAGCTCCAATCCCACGGTCAAAACAAATACCAAATATGCAGGTACTTTGTTCATTTTTTTATGTTAAAGAGTCAAATTTGAAAGAAAAAAAATGTAAAGAAAGACTCTGTGTTTAGGACTTTATTGATAGAGAATGTTTACTTGAACATTTTCATGTTTTTTTCAGGTTTTGAATCAAACATCTAGACTTGAGGTTCAGCTTCTGGAGAATGCCCTGTCAACCCATAAATTGGAAAAAGAAATAATGGTCCAGACCAGCGAAATTACTAAACTGCACCAGAAGAATGGGTAAGTGATCCATTACGTTTAACAAATAAAGATGCGATATAGTGCCTTTTACATTGGGAGTATTCCTCAAAGCACTTCACAGAATATCCTGTAAAGTGTCATGACCTGTATTTTTGTGGGTCAACACAACCCACAACAATGTTTCAAAAACACCATCAACTCTGAGCGACCAATATTATCTGGAGGATTGTTGGCCCGAAAACAGGAGGAAATTATCTTCTCTTTAATAAACAATGTCTTGGAATCTCCCCGAAGAGACGGATGGGACTCAGTTTTAAGTCTCATCCAAAGGACAACAGTGCACCTGATCGCCAGCATTGCACTGAGCCTGACGTCCTGACATGGGGCTTGAACCCACAACCTTCTGACTCAGAGGCGAGAGTGCTACCAACTGAGCCGGGCTGACACCTATTTTGTTTCGAAAAGAAAGACTGAACTTTATTACTCTGCTGTTTTCTGGGCCACTTTTGGCACCTGCACTTAAACCAGAAAGTATAATCATACATAATAATAATCACTGCAATTGATGCAGCGTATTATCACATTGTCAAAATGCACTTCACTTTTTTTTATATTGAAGTGTAGCAAACAAGCGCTTTGGGGGTGAAGAGTACTAATAGAATACAATAGGAATTAAATACAGATTAAATGCCAAACAAAATAGGAAATTCTTGTCTATTAGGTTTGGATGTGTTCCAATTCTACTGTAGTTCTCGAAGGAATAGAGATCAACTTGCAGTCATTAAAATAAATTACAATTTTTCAAGCAATGCACAGCTACTATGCATTGAGAAGTTGGCTGCTCTGCAAATTAAATCATGACATAATGGGTTCGACAGCTAACTAGGTTTAATGGTCCAGTCAGCCCAAACCCTTGTGTATTTAATAGTATCCATGAACACTGAACCATGGAGCTTCTGAAAGATCAAAAGAATATTTTACCGCATTCCTAAAAATGATGTAAATAACCAAACTGTCTTAAGATACAACCATCAAAATACTTGCTATGTAACTATGATATAACTAACTATAACAAAGCAGTATTCGGAGTGGGGTTGGGAAGGCACATAAAACCCCAACCAGCATTCTAACGGGGCACGATCACAGTCAATGCTTCCGCACAGTGACTGAACTGATCACAAGACTGGCGAAGTCACTGGACAAGCGCACAAGAAGGCTCATCGGTGTTTGCTCCGCAATTCACAATGTCGCACTTCAAACACGGTCATGATGCTGTGATAAGTTTTGAAGCGCAACAACAACAACAAGATTCCATTTATAGAGCGCCTTTCACGTCGGGAGGACGTCCCAATGCGCTGTACAGTTGGGTCAGGACCTGAGCAGGGGGGAAATGGTCAGGGTGAGGAGAGGGAAGGGAGGGAGCGAGGAGGGGGTAGAGAGTCGAGAGGGGAGCTGAAGACACGGTCAAAGAGAAAGGTCTTGAGACCGGCCTTGAAGGAGGAAAGGGAGGAAGCGGCGAAGGCACTGGGGGACAGAGTTCCAGAGCCTCGGGTCTGAGAGGCTGAAGGCCCGGCCACCGATGGGGATGTGGAGCAGACCGGAGCCAGAGGAATGGAGGGTACGGACAGGTACGTAGGGGGATAGTAGGTCGGAGAGGTAGGAGGGAGCAAGGCCGTGAATGGCCTTGTAGGTGAGGATGAGGATCTTGAATTCGATCCTCTGGAGAAGAAATGACGAGGTGCTTTGAAACACAATGTGCGTCGATGAGGCTGCTTTCTGCACACATTTGGGATTTTTAGGCAAGAAAATGTCAAATTTCCACATCCAAATCATGTCTAGAAGTGAATCCACCTTATCATGAAACACGCTATACCATACAATAGCAAGACAATTTACATAGCGCCTTTCATGTCACTTTACACAACTGTCAAGGCAGTCAGGAAGTGTGTTGGGGATGGGGGTGGCTGAAAATGGGGAAGGGAAATAAGTTAACCAGAAGCATGGTCAAAGAGGCAAGTCTTTTGTCTTTGGGCTTTGAAAGTGGGGCAGTAGGGGGCAAGTCGGAGGGACTCCGGATGGAGCAGGGTACAATGACACCATGCGTCTCATGTTGTTATCATATAAATGCCAAGTTACACAAATAAATAAACACTTCCTACATTGCCATATTTTGAAATAAAGCCCTCCCCGTGATGATCGTACAGTCTCAACTTTGCTTTTTTTCTGGAAATAGAGACAAATCTATAGCACTCCATCTATGGATTAACTAAAATGTTTTGTTTTAAATTCTTTCGATACTCTTGTATCAATGATATTGTACACCAGGAATTATTTCCGTAAACCTGCAGGAAACTTCCAAAGTGCTAAATATTCCAACTTACAATGACTACTTTCCCGATTTATGTGGCTAGTGTGCTATGCTCAGTGACACTGTCAACATTTTATTCTTTAAAACGACACCCAAGTGGTTTAGCTGAAGATATATCACTTCTTAAGTTGGATAAAATCCTTGAACCTTCTGCAAGTTGAATTTTGTGACTGCATGCAGAATTGCACGTGCGTGCATCGCTTTGCGTCTGAGAAACTCAATGCAAGTGTTATCTTTTAGTATTTAGTTACTATTTTCTCTGAACTATGTTCAACCCATTCATTAGGGCTACAGTTTAATACGAATTGTTGTAACTCCTCAGGTTTACGCAATGTTATATAACGTTTTTGTAAAATTAAAGACAGTATCAAAAATAACAAACCTTTGAACTCTGGCTTTGAGATGTTCTTTAATGTGAAAGGATTAGGCGCCTGGCACATTTAAATTATGATGTTTAAATTCATGTTTCTGTCATTGTTGTAATCAATTGCTTTTCAAAGGTCGGGTCTGACTCAGTGTATCCATCCTTTCCATTCTAATCATCTCCTTTATTATGCTACAAATTCACATCCCACAACTGAATCCTTCCAGGTCACCAAAAAGTGCTCATTAAATGTGCCACACGCCTAATTTAATATATACTGACCAGCCATGACATAAATTTAGATTTTGCCACAGGGAAAAAGGAATCAATTACAGAGCATGCGTTTCTCTGGGATGTTCTGATAATAAGCTTAAAAATAAAAAACAGTCATTTACTTCCACATAATGTGGCAAATCTGCAGTACCGTGGACTCTACACAAACTATTCAAGCTCCTGAGAAAAGGTTCTGTTTTTCTCTGTTCCAATCACCAAAGGTTGCTGGCGCATAGCTTTGTAGCCCTGTGCCAGCCAATATTAATGTTTCTTGATGTTATTTGAATCTTGGAATCTTACAGCACAGAAGGAGGCCATTCGGCCCATTGTATCCTCGCCGGCTCTTTGAAAGAGCTACCAACTTGTCCCACTCCCCTGCTCTTACAGCACAGCCCTGCAAATTTTTCCTTTCCTATCCAATTCCCTTTTTGAAAGTTATTATCAACTTTGCTTCCACCACCCTTTCAGGCAGTGCATTCCAGACCGTAGCAACTCTATTAAGGAGAAAGGAACAGAACCAGCTCAAAAAAACATTGCAATCCCGAAAAGCAGCCCAATGGGCCAGACAAGAACGTTTGAAGCCAAGATTTGTTTTGAATTTGAAAGTTTGTTTACACTTGATTTATACTGCAGCTGATAACAATTTGATTCTGAAACCACTTCCTGGATATAGATTCAGGAGCAGGTCTCAAAATCAAGTCGCTGCCAGTAAAACTGGATTTACATTCCTGTTTGACCATCATGTTGACATGTGAATTGCTCGAAAACTATGCTGTTTGGAGAGCAATGTACATCTACATTTGCGGGAGGATAATTCGTTCTTGGGTGGGTGTCGTTAGCTGAGGCTGTTGTTTCCTGAGAGCATCAGAATCATTATTAATAAGCTCCACATCCTCAGTGAGTTCTGATGCTGAAACTGTTGATTCAGCGGAGCTGCAGTTGTGAGAAAACCAGTGGTCAACAATTGTAATGTCTAGGACTTGGCTTACTGAACCCAATTCCTGCTTTTGATGCAGTTCAGCCCAAACAAGCTGGATTACAGATGTGCAAAAGGTAAATCTAGGCCCTGAGGAACATGATGCCAACTCCCCAGACACACAAGACAGCCTATTATACTGTTTGGCCTGTACATTCCTGAGGGTTGTCCCTGAGGGTTACCCCTATCTCCAATCAATTCGCTTCCTGCCCCCGGAGTTAAAAGAATGCTTCCTCTCTGAGCTTGCATGTTGGCTCTCAGACTTTCTTGCCCTCAGGATTGCCTTGCACTAGATGAAGCTATTGTATTGAGCTATTTCATCGAGGTTGGAACACTCTTAGAAGTTGTGCAATGGCAGACTACATCATAAACAGAGAAAAATAATGCCAGCTATAAGGAAGTATAGAGAATACAGCTACAAGGGATTATAGCTGTAGCTGCTGTTAACATTAAAAATAATGTGGATGTGTTTCAAAAAGAAGCTAAATATACGCTTGCATGAGAAAGAGGAACTTGGCTTGCATAAAGATTTTTATCGTAAGTGCTCACCTTTTGTCTCATACCTCACCCGATCACTTAACAAAGGATTTCCAATCGGTCGATCGCTGCTAGGTGGTGGTCCGGTGCATGAGCAAAAAACCAAGAGGAAGGAGTGATAGAACTGTGTAGTATTTTGCTCAGGTGGAAATGAAGCCAGATACACAAAGTATTTCATGCACCTCGAAATCAAAATATAAACTTTCCAATTTAAACTGCGGTAAATATCGCTCCTTTCACTCGATTTTATTGAGCATGGGTGAGATAACACCTAGATCGACCGGTTGGAGACGCCTGATTTAACATAACAAGCTTCAAACAACTGTCGTGCAACTGTGAACTCATGATGCTGTTCCCTATGTCCATTTTGCTTTACTAAGTTGGGTACGGCAATGTCTCACAAAGCATTTCTCCTGCAGTCGACAGCAACTGCTTTACAGATTTAATGAATCAACACAATTAAGCGTGCTAAGGAATGAATCATTATCCTGTGCAGAATAACTTATGTTAACCTTTTTTTAAAAAAAAGGCCAGTTCCAATAACTCGTTTGGCATCTTAATGGTGTCAAGCAATTTAATTTTTGCAACATGTAATTATGTTCACTCTTGTTCAGGCTTATGTTAAGCACTTTCTTTTTAAGTAAAGGCAAATGCACCACTATGTGCTTTTAAAAACTGCAATCCCTTGCAAAGTTTCAGTAGATATAATGATCTGCCTCAAGTAGTGCGTTTGAACACATACCCTGGTGGAGCAACTTCAAAACACTAATCTACAGGGCAGCTTATAAAAATTAGTTCCATGTGGTCAAAATGAGGACACACACTGTGCTGTCCTGCAATTCACTTCCCTGCTGAGAGGTGAAAATCTTTCCCATTCACTTCGACCATAAAAGCCATGACTGAATTGCACACAAAAGCCACATTAATGTGCTTTCCTTTCCGTTTCCTAGTTTACTGGAACAGAAAGTATCAGAAATCGAAGACAAGCATGAAGTTGAACTCCAGTCACTTAAACAGGAAAAAGAGCAGCTCCAGAAGTTGGTGACGCGGCAGAACTCTATCATAGAGGAGCTTGAGAAACAGCTGGCTACAGCAACATTGAATAGCACTGTGCTACAGAAACAACAGTTGGATCTGATAGAGACTGTTCACAATCTGATCAACCTCGTATCTCCTACCCACTGTGAGTGCTTTTCTTTCATTCGAGCTGTAAGTTAACTACCGGCAACCAAGAGTGCTTTTGTAAGGTCCAGAGTGATTTGTGAGTGATATTGACCTGTGCAAAACTGATGATCACATTTTAAAAATAAACGTCAGTGTTCTCAGGAATTTATTGATAGTTTTTACAGTAGGCAAATGAGAGAAAGAGTCAGGTCGAGGGGGGTGGGGGAATGTAAAATGTGTAAGCATTCCAAGCTCGGTTCCCGAGTTAATGTCTGGGTTTATGGACTGGAGAGAAATTGTAGTTAAAGTGTGCCCTACAATCTGGCTATTAACCAGAGGTTTGTGTCTGCCCACCCCCCCACCCCACACCCACCACAACTAATTCTCACCCAATTTTGTGATTTTTAGAAAGAAATTCACCGATTTAATAATAATCCTTGCACTTGATACTTCACTGAACTAGTACAGGTAGCTTGACAATCATTGCAAATCTTGCAATAGAAACTTGCAGCTCACCCAAACCAAGTTATTTCCTACATTCTCGAGCCTGTGTTAATAAATAAGTCAGAGGATTGGCCAGGTATCATTGGCATTACTTAAAAATTCCTTCAGCTTTCTCTCCTCCTATTCTGAAGTTACTGAGTCATACCTGGGGGATGGTTCTGCTTGTGCCTGCCTGCATGCCACCTAATGACCCTTCAGCCCCTACGTCCTTGCCCTATAGAACTTCCTTCCAAAAGGAAAGAAGTTTTAAAGGGCAAGCTCTCTCCTTCCCTTCAAACCTTTTTAAAACATTATCTTTATGACTGTCCTTTCGGTCTATATATTTAATTCCCCTTTCCTGCTCCCGGCTGAATTTGTTTTGGTTAACCAGTGTGTCTGGACATGTGGAAACCCATCACTATATTTTAAGGATATCAAAACCAGTTCCATATATGCAATGTCACCGCCTTGGGACGTTCTCCCGACATGAAAGGCACTATACAAATGTAATTTTGTTGCTGTTGTCACCTGCACAAGGAAATTTCTCCATGCCTGGAATGAAACACGCACTCTCTCCTTGGAGAGATTCATCCTGCTGCTTACCAAATTCCAGAGAGTATTAGGCACAGGTTGGCAAGAGCCAAGGCTTTGGGACCTCAGAGTGTGTGATGGGTTCTGCTGCAGTTTCAACCAGCTAAATCCATGTAGCTTTGCTTTGAGAGTATCCTCTGGCAAGCTTCACGTTGCTTGTCCAGCTAGGACCGTCCTGCCCTTTAGGGCTTTAGTTTGCTGAGTTAAAAGGAGCTGAAAGGGAAAAATTCCTGCTCCCAGTCTATCTCTTCAAATTCTGCTGATGAGGCAGGCTGGATGGTCTGTCATCAGCAGTGCCAGAGTATTGTGCACCCGTCTGGATCAGGAACTGGACTACTGAGACTACCACAGAGGGCTGACTCCATTCTGACATTTTGCTGCCAAACATATCTCCTTGGAGCCAGCTGAACTCTTCCAGAATATTGCTCAATTGGCAGGAATCGGAAGAGCATTGATGTTGCACTTGTTTGCCAGGTACTGGCCTAAAAAAAATATTTTGAAAGTAAGATAAAGCTGTTTAAATAGCTACGAATTAAAATTTTGGATCAACCCAGTCATTGGTGATCAATAAAGAATGGAATCGATTTAGGAATTACGACTCTCTCCTCTCCCCTCCCAGCAGTTTTCTTCAGGAGAACAGAGTATAATTGCATGTTGTACTTAGAATTCTCAACAACAGCAGCTTGCGTTTACGCCCTTCAAGCAGAACGGCATCCAGGAGCCCGAGCTATTCTCCAACCTAGAAATGAAGTTACATGGCCACAACATATAAACTTTACGTTGTTGCCCTTTTTAACAGACATTTCTATCTGTTTTGCATTACAGCAAAGAGTTTAGTTTTAGCGAAAGAAGAACAAATCCGGTTCAAAGATTGTGCTGAAGCATTCAAATCAGGTCTCACAACAAATGGCATCTACACGCTCTTTATACCCAACACCACCCAACCAATAAAGGTAAGGTAACAGATGTGTATTATAAAATGAAGAACAATAGTTCTTACATTTGGTGTTGTGCCTTTCATCTCGGGAGGACATCTCAAAGCACTTCGCAGGATATACTGTATAGCGTAGTGACTGTGTGTTTTGTTGGCAAACGCAGCAGCCAATTTATGCACAGCTGTGTCACAGAAACAACAATGAAGTATGTAGTTCTCGGAGTCCAGGTACAAAGTAAACACCACACTGTATGAAAACGTGTTAACGCATGGTGCACAATAGTTCAAGAGTTCAGAATATTGTGAAGTGAATAAAATGAATAAAATGAAACACTCACATATATATTCTGATTTACTACATTTCAAACTATGAAAAGTTTTGTGAAATTCTTAAACCTGCAATAGTCACAAGCATTAGTTAACTAGTAATAACACACTGCTATGTAAAGGTGAATTTGTTGCAATGACATGCATTAGTTGTCAGAGGGATAAGCATAGCAGTTATAATATGGACTCTGGAAGATGGCCCACGATCTTTAACAACAAAATTATATTTGTAAAGTGCTTTTCACGTTGGGAAAACGTCCCAAGACGCTGGACTGTCAGAGTTTCGGACCCGAGCTGGTGGTCGGGATCGGGGAGGGTAGGGTCGGGGAAGCAGGGTGATCGAAAACATGGTCGAAGAGGAGGGTCTTGAGATGGGTCTTGAAGGTGGCAAGGGAGGGGGCAAGGCGGAGGGACTGCAGGATGGAGTTCCAGAGGGTGGGGGCACAGTGGCAGAAGGCCTGCCTGCCAATAGTGGAGCGAGCAAGGCGGGGGACGTGAAGCAGGCCAGAGTCCGCTGAGTGGAGGGAGCGAGCAGGATTTTAGGGGGTTAGGAGGTCACAGATGTAGAAAGGAGCAAGACCATGGCAGGCTTTGAAGGTGAGGACCAGAATCTTGAACTGTATCCTATGTGTGATGGAAGCCAGTGGAGTTGGGCGAGGATGGGGGTGATAGTGCCACAGAGCCTGGTGAGGGAGAGGACACAGGCTGCAGTTCTGGATGATCTGCAGCCTACGGAGGGAGGAGTTGGGAAGGCCGACAAGCAAGGAGTTTGCATAGTCAAGCCTCGATGTAATGAAAGCGTGTACGAGGGTTTCGGCGGCCTGTAGCGTGAGACAGTGGCGGAGCCAGGCGATGTTGTGGAGGTGGGGGAAGGCACAGCGGGTCATGGCACAGATGTGGGGTACAAAGGATAGTTAAGGGTCAAACAAAATGCCAAGGTTTCGGACTGGCTTAGTAAGGTGGAGTGAGCAACCACGGATGGTGATGCTGTCAGTGCCTGAGGTGTGGAGGCGCTGACGGAAGCCAATCAGGAGAGCCTCGGTCTTGTTGAAGTTCAACTGAAGAAAATTGGCTCTCATCCAGGACTTGATGTCTGACACACATTCTTGACCAATTTATCTACAGAATCTAAGTTAGATTCTGTACATAATTTGGTCAATATGTCTTCATGGTAATATTCTGTCACCACTATCTGACTCTGAGCATAAATAACTCATCTTTGATAAGATCACGAATTGCCCACAAATTCCATTTTACAGTAAATTCTATGAAGCTCTTTGAGATGGCTCAACGACTTAAGGTGTGATAAGGCTCTATAACAAATGCAAGGTTGATGATGATGGTTATTATTATTATTATTACTACTCCCTCCCATACCGTTCGATTCCCCCATCCCTCATGTGAACGTCTGGCGTCCTCTTTTCTCTATATATCAACAAACATTAGATCAGAGTTAGAACAGCAGAGTGCACGGGCAGAAGAATAAGGCTGGAGGGAATTGCAAAGATGGGGAGGTGCAGGCAGCAAGCCAGATCACTCAACATAGAATCAGGAAGGTAAAGAAAAGATTTTTGTGCAGTTGGACTGCTCCAGTCAGTTTTCTCTTCCCCGTCCAACCACCCAAGGGACGTTGAGATTCACTGCCAAACAATAACTGGCAGTCGTCATGTATTCTGTTGCTCACTAACTGGCCGTCCAGCACTGTCCAACTATAGCTCTGTGGTTGCACCATCCAATGTAGTTCAAACAATTCAAATTCATAGTGAACAATTTTCCAATAAGGTAACTGATGTGCCGGTTGGGAGTATTATCTTTTGCTTATTTAGAGGTTCTTTAGTTCTGTGCTTTTTTTTCAATTTTGCAGCACATAGTGTTCTATGAAAACAATCCTTCAATACTGAACAACAGCATCGCAGCAATGCTTAAATGATCTGTCAAAATAAACTAGTACTTTGTAGAGTGAATCCATTGTAAAAAACAAAATTGTAAAAAGTTAGCTAATCAAATCATCATGTAAATTCCAATATGAGAATGTTTGCCTGCATGAGAAGGTGCCAGAACACAAAACATAAATGCTTTTTTCTTCCAAGGACAACATTGGCACTGTCCTGTTTCAAACACAGAAACAATTGCCAGAACATCTGCAATGCCTTTGACAACTAAAATAAACAGCAAGGTGTTCTCCTGAATGTCTACCACACAAACACACTGAGGTTTAATAGTACATAATAGTACAGATATTCCTCTGGGACACAGATATACTGAATAGTCTTGACTAAAATAAAATGAAGTGATTGAGACTGTATATTTCACTAGAACAACTTGGATAAAGTAATTTAGAAGAACTCTCTCTAAAGTCTGTCTGGAAGGGAGAACTGTTAAGAATATTGAACCTATTTAAGCTTGCTATGTTGGCAGGCCATGTTTAGAAGATAAAATGGAACTAATGTTTACTCACGCTGGTCACTCTGAATGCTGTGTTGTTGGAGCCGTGTCCTTGGGATGAGATGTTAAACCAAGGTTCCATTTGGGCCTCTTTAGGGAGATGTTAAAGATTCTGTAGCACTTTTCAAAAGGAGAAATGAGTTTAACCCAGTGTCCTGGCCAATAATCCCCCCCAAATCAAATCGGTCGTTCACTTCATACACTGCGTGAGGTTGCGCTATATAAATTCAAGTTGGTGTTGTTATTGTGGGACAATGCACTGCACAAATTGGCTGCCAAGTTTGCCTACAAAGTACACTACACTAAATCCTGTGAAGCACTTTGAGACTTTCTCCTGACATGCCTTATATCAGTTGTGAAAAGCAAGAATTATTATGTTTACAATTACAGGCATTTTGCAATATGGAATCTAGTGGAGGAGGGTGGACTGTGCTACAACGTCGGGAAGATGGAAATATGGATTTTCACCGCACTTGGAAAGAATACAGAATGGTGAGTGTATTTAACAATAATCTTATAGGATTGAATGGCTCATTGCACTTGGATTGAAATCAAACGCACTATTGTTCCAAAGGGAAAAATAGTACGTCAGATATTAAAATTGAAATATTGCTCTGTACAGTGTATCCCAAACTATTGTTCTGTGCACTTTTTCAATCCCATTTAAAATTTTATATATCTCTATAAGTTCCGCTCTTTCAAAACTGAAGAGCCTTCGCTTGTCTAATAATTGCTGATAGCTCATTCCTCTAACACTGGATTCTCCTTGTTGCTCTCATCTGCACTGTATCTAGGGTCTTGGTAGCATCCTTACGTAACGGTGCCAAACTGCATGCAATACTCTAGCCAACCCAGAGAATGATAAAGCTTGAGTTATGATGCTTGGGGATCTTAACTCAACTGATTTGACACTGCAGCCAAGTATGCTGTTAAATGCTACAACAACAACAACAACAAGATTCCATTTATTGAGCGCCTTTCACGTCGGGAGGACGTCCCAAGGCGCTGTACAGTTGGGTCAGGACCCGAGCATTGGGGGGAAATGGTCAGGGTGAGGGGAGGGAAGGGAGGGAGCGAGGAGGGGGGAAATGGTCAGGGTGAGGGGAGGGAAGGGAGGGAGCGAGGAGGGGGTAGAGAGTCGAGAGGGGAGCTGAAGGCACGGTCAAAGAGAAAGGTCTTGAGACCGGCCTTGAAGGAGGAAAGGGAGGAGGCAAGGCGAAGGCACTGGGGGATAGAGTTCCAGAGCCTAGGGGCTGAGAGGCTGAAGGCCCGGCCACCGATGGTAGGGCGGTTGGGGCGGGGGATGTGGAGCAGACCGGAGCCAGAGGAACGGAGGGTACGGGCAGGTAGGTAGGGGGATAGTAGGTCGGAGAGGTAGGAGGGAGCAAGGCCGTGAATGGCCTTGTAGGTGAGGATGAGGATCTTGAATTCGATCCTCTGGGGGATGGGGAGCCAGTGGAGGCGAGCGAGGGTGGGAGTGATGTGGTCCCGAAGCCTGGTGCGGGACAGTACACGAGCTGCAGAGTTCTGAATGACCTGCAGCTTGTGGAGGGAGGTGGCGGGAAGGCCGGCGAGGAGAGAGTTCCCATAGTCCAGCCTTGAGGTGATAAAGGCGTGGACCAGAGTTTCAGCAGCGTGAGGGGTGAGGTAGTGCCGTAGTCTGGCGACATTCCGGAGGTGATGGAAGGCGGTGCCAGTTGTGGCGCGGATATGGGGGAGAAAGGACAGCTCAGGGTCGAACAGAACCCCGAGGTTCCTGACTGGCTTTGAGAGGTGGAGAGTGCAGCCTTGGATGCTGATGGTGTCAGCGCCTGAGGTGCGGAGGCGCTGACGTGAGCCAATCAGGAGGGCCTCAGTTTTGCGCACGTTGAGCTGAAGAAAGTTGTCTCTCGTCCAGGACTCGATGTCGGACAGGCAGCTGTCAGGACATCGGTGGTCGTGGAGTTGAGGGTAGAGGAGGAAAGGTAGAGTTGGGTGTCATCCGCATACATGTGGAAGTTAACCCCATGTCTGCGGATGATGTCACCAAGGGGGAGCATATAGAGGGTGAAGAGGAGGGGACCGAGGACAGAGCCTTGAGGGACACCGCACGAGACAGTGCGGGGGCCGGAGGAAAAACCATTTGAGGAGACAAAGTGAAGACGGTGGGAGAGGTACGACCTAAACCACTCAAGGACAGGGCCTTGAAGGTTTAGGTGGGAGGACAAGCGGTGGAGGAGGATAGCATGGTCGACCGTATCGAATGCTGCCGATAGGTCGAGGAGGACGAGGAGGCAGAGGGAGCCCTGGTCACAGATGGTCAGGATGTCATTGGTGACCTTGACCAGGGCAGTTTCTGTGCTATGGGCAGCACGGAAACCCGATTGAAGGGGTTCGAATAGTGAATGGTTGGAGAGGAAAGAGCGCAGTTGGGAGGCGACAACTTGTTCCAGGACCTTGGATAGGAAGGGGAGGTTGGAGATGGGCCGGTAGCTTGATAGCTGCGACGCATCAAGGGAGGGTTTTTTTAAGGTGGGAGTGATGGTGGCAGTTTTTAAGGGAATGGGAATAGAGCCAGAGGAGAGGGACAGGTTGATGATGTCTGTGATATGTGGGGCAAGGAGGTGGAGCTGGGAGATAAGGAGTGGAGTGGGGATGGGGTCAAGGGAGCAGGTGGTAGGTTTCAGGGAGAGGATGAGTTTGGTGACAGAGGATGGGGAAACGGGTACGAAGGTGTGTAGGGGAGGATGGGTAGGAGTCGGAGTGTGGGAGGGAAGGGGTGGGTGGTGGGTGGATGTTGGAGGGGAAGTGACCGCGGAGCGGATTCCCTTGATCTTGGATTCAAGGAAATCCAGCATCTCCTCGCAGTGAAGGTTGGAGGAGATGACCTGCGCGGGGTGGCGGGCGGGATGGAGGAGTTGGGATGTGGTAGAGAACAGTAGCCTGGGGTTGTCCTTCGCCTCCAGGATTATCCTGGAGTAGAAGGACGATTTGGCCGAGGCTAGAGTGGAGCGGTAGATTAATAGGATGCAAATGCCTTTTCACTATATTGTGTGAAGTGCTTTGAGATGTCCTCCCAGCCTTAAAGGCCCTAAACCAAATGTAAGGGTTATTACTATTAATAAAAAGAATATGGGATAGATAGTTGCAATGTTCTTTTAATTGATAGCTGGGGTCTGAATCCAGTTTAGATTGATGGAATGAAATATATTCAGAAACATTCTTAAGTTAAGTAAGTTGAGGCATTTTTAACTCGGTCTCAAGTGAAGATGGATTTAAAGCACAGAACAACTGCTAAACTGTCATCGTCACTTAGTGAAACTTTAAGTAGAATAGAAATATTCACACAAGGTTACTTTGTGAGGTTGGGAATAAGACACATTGTTGGAAGAGATTAGAGGAAGCTTTACTCTGCATCTGGGACTGTTTAAAAGTAAGCATTCTATTCCCCAGGATTAAACACATTTAGTTTTCATCAGAACAAGAAATACAAATTTTAAAAGGTCTCAAATCAGAAGGAAAATACTCATACATCATGATCGATCGAAACCAATTTAAACTGAAAATGTATGCTGAATGTGTATATACTGCATCTACAAATATTTCCATTATCTATCTTCTTTGAACTTTCAGCTACATGTCAGGAGATATGTATGTAGCTCATCCTCACATTCATTCTGACCTGCTATTTTAGGTCTCTCTCCCCTCTCAAGAGTGTAATGGATGAAGAAGGTCCTTTGGCCCATTTAGTTCCATCCTTCCTGAATACCTACCTAACCGGGCTTTAAGGGCCCAGAGTGCTGGCCTCAACCGCTCTCCTGGTAATTAATCCCAGCTGTTAATAACCTTCTGTGCAAAGAGGATTTTCTAGTGTTTGTCCTGAAGTTGCCCTTCATAACTCTTGTGATCTTGTCAGATATTTGCTGCAATCCGTGTGTGTCACAGTCCAACTCCAGTGATTTTAATTGGAGTCTTTGACAAGCATGGGAACGATGGAAACATTACCACTGTCTAATAGTTATTTTCTTGGCAACACTTTCCTCTTCCCGACTGTGACAATTTGCACACTTCATCATTTTGACCAGAATTGTTGAATCAAAGTATCGGCTCACACCTAGTGCAGTCTGGATTCAAACTACTCAATGCATTTCATGTTTTATCAACAAAACAACAATAGGAAATAAGAATGCATGCAGAATAGCAAATGGTTTAAGTATACCTCCTCTTTTAATAATAATATTATTATTATTACCTCCTTTTTTGGGGGGAGGAAGGCAAAATGAAATCCAGTTAAATCCTGTAGTGATCAAAGCAGACAGCTTAACCATATTTCAGATTCAATTCTAATAATGACTAGCAATGAATCAAACAGACTGCATGGGCAGGAAGTTTATCGCATTCTCTACAAATTCTCATTTGTTTACTCTAAGTATTTATTTTATAACTGCTCTACCATGTTTTACATATTGTTTTCTTGAAAACTGACCGGTTGCCAAACCCAGCCAAATAATATAAAACATCTTGGGTCTAAATTAAAAACAAAAGCAAATAAGCTTTATGAGTGTAGCTGTGTGTATCACCCATTTGTCATCTTACGCAGAAAAGCATCAGAGTTTACAGGACAGAAAAAGATCATTGTGGATCATCTGGACAATTTCTAAGAAGTTCAATGAATACCAAGCTGTTCATACAACTCATCACATATTTCACCAACATCATATTCACCTCCTTGAAATTGTAGGCATTGCAATAACCTTTGTGATAGTTTCCAAGTACTCCCTGTGTTATGTAAGGAACGTTTGATAACTACTAGCAGATGGCCCACTCTCTGAATTAAATGAAATTCAGCTACATACATTTCTAGAGTGACAGGATGGAAACAGGCCATTCGGCCCAACTATTGCGTGCCAGTAGTGTCATGATCTATCCAATCATTCCTTACTCCCTCCCATATTCTTCTATTCCCCTCTCCCTCATGTGATGGAATTGCATAGAATGATGCAGCATGGAAAGAGGCCATTCAGCCCAACTAATCCATGCCAGCAGCTTACAGCAAAATGAATGTGACTAAAATATGGCAAAGAAAAGTGGATTGAGCCTTTGGACATGATGCTTCTCAGTTTAAAACCGTCAACAATTCACCCTCAACCATTTCAGAAAGTAAAACTGTATTTAAAATGAATGAGATTAAAGCAGTAGGGATAGGAAACTAAATCAGACAATGTTGAACAGTAAAGCCCATTCATAAGATTTAATGACTACAAATGAGTAGCTACAAGAGAATTTGCAATGTCCCTTCAGAATGCTGTGAAACAAACAAATCCTGTGCTGTAAAACGTCTCTTGTTTCCAGGTTTAGGGAAACATTTGCTATTTGCAAAATTAACCTAAATTGGTTGATTTTGTATCCTGTAGTTCAAATTGCTCAAATAACTTTTAACAATCCCAGGCATGAGATTGTTGAAATCATGCATTTTTTTCTGTTAATCCGACGTATAATTTAGTCACTACCCTTTGCAATATAAACATGCTGTGTTAATTGCTGCAATATAAATCTAATGCTACATTTAACCTTGGTCACAGTATAATTTGCACATCTAATTACGTACATAACAACATTTACTTTCATTTCTAATCTTGCTTCAAGACCAAATCACTCCACTGATCAGTGAATGAGCTTTCAGCTATTCTGCCTCCACTATCTGGAGCTCCATGCCAGAATCTCTCTACCCTGCCCCTGCCCTCCTTGCCGTCTTAAGACCCACAATCGACTGTGCTTTCGGCCAACTTCCACCCAAACTCCCACCTTCTAACTCAGTTTCCAGGTCAACTCTGTGAAGCACGTTGAGACACCTCCTTGTGAAGTGAAAAGTGTTATATAAATGTAAACTGTTGTTGCTGTAATCTACAACAAAATTACATTTATAGAGCGCCTTTCATGTCAGGAGGACGTCCCAAAGCGCTGAACAGTCAGCTGTCGGGGCCCAAGTATGGGGGAGGGGTGGTGTCGGGGAAGGCAGAGAGGTGGGAGGGAGACCAAAGGCACGATCGAAGAGAATCTATTACATTAGTAAAGCGTTTGGATGTTTGTTTTTTTTATATGAAAGGTGTAAATTATTTATTATTCTTTCTGTGGACTTATTATCTATCCCCTACGTGAAATTTCACAATTTTCTCGATCCATCCATTTCTGGATTGAAGAGAATGGTTTTGCCGACAAAAAAAAGAATCACTACATCGACTACAAATATTGCAAAGCACTTTGAAAGTTGTGATGCTGTCACCATAAAGATTCAATTTCTTTCAGTTTTGCTCAGATCCAATAAAAATTAGCTACTTAATGTTAATGTATCACAACACTTAAAAAAAACACATTTTGTAAGGAAAAAAACATTTATTCACAGGGATTTGGTGATCCTGCTGGAGAACATTGGTTGGGAAATGAATTTGTCTACAAGTTAACCAGTCAAAAGAACTATGCCCTCCGCATCCAACTGAGAGACTGGGAGGGAAACGAGGCCTTTTCACTCTATGACCAATTCTATTTGGCCAGTGAAGCACGAAAATACAGGTAGGCATTTCAACAATAGTTTCTCAGTTTAATGGTAATTCAAATGCATGAGATTTTTCTTTAGGATTGATGTAGAGTTACATTGACTGTAAGTGTTGCATAATCACACAGAGGCTTACTGTCTGGTGGCCAGTCATTGTCTGGAATATAGTGTGTTGAAATTCTGATGATCACATCAAATGTTGGGTTTTTCACTCTAACGTTATAAGCTGAAAGAGCTCAAATAAAGAACAGATGGGCCTCCACACAGTGTGCACTTGGTGTCAGCCTGGCTCAGTTGGTAACATCTTTCCTCTGAATCAGGAGGCTAAGTGTTCAAGCTCCACGTCGGGACTTTGAACTCAGTCTAGGCTGACACTCAGATGCAGTGCTCTGGGTGCAGTGCATTGTTGGATGTGCAGTCCTTCAAATGAGACTTTAAACTGAGGTCCTGTCTGCCTGTTCAGGTGGATATTAACGTTTCCATGGCACTATTTGAAAAGAGAGGGAGTTTCTCCCAGTGTCCCTACAAATTGGCTGCCATATTCAATTACAAATGCACGGTTACTACTCTTCATACTGAAAACTTTGAGATGTCTAACAAGACTCCATATCAAATGCAAGGATTCTTCTTATTATTCTTATATGACCAAGATTGGAAAAAAAAGAGCAGTTTCTCCTGGTGTCCTGGCCAATAATTCCCAAGATTACTTGGCTGTGCACCTCATGGCTGTTTGTGCAGCCTTGTTGGTACAAATAGGAACTGCTACATTCCAGTCCCCAGATGTTATTGATGATGCTTTGTGTATTTGTTAGACTTCAAACGCTTTCCATTATTACTCCTTGTTATGCTCCATATTTCTCTTTCCGCCTTTGAAATATGCATTTTCTTCACTTTGTTAATATTGTGAATATAAGTGGAATGGTGAATAACAGTTCAATTTTGACGAGTCAACTGCAAAACTATAAACACATTTCAATATAGTTGAAGCATGGTGAAGAAGATCTATTTCAAAGCTGCAAAAATGAGTGTAACGAAACAGATGCTGGAGTAATGCGGAATGTAAACTTGGACTGCAAGATATGTATTTTGGATAAGTTTATACCCTTTCAGATAAAAAGAAACTGGGGCACGATATGCTGTGCTATGTTAGGTCCTGTGCCTGAAATAGAATAGGGAAAAATCGACTCATATTACTTGCAGTACAAATACTGGAAACATTGTGATACTCCAACTTGTAATGTTGAACAGTGGAATTTTTTGATTTAATAAAAAGTGATTAAGGGAAATGGGCAAGAGAGACATCTTGGACATGCAATGATTAACATAAGAGTAATTGTACCAATTGTTCTAAGTGGAGCTTTAGTCTGACCCCACGTGTGGCATGGGTACATTTAAAGCCGGGGTATACGTGGTACAGAACACTGAAAGTACATTACGCTGCCAACCTGGCCTGGCTGGCTTCCTGTGCATTGTACCAGGCACATTAGGCTTCCTGGCATTTTGGGCTGTCCCAGCAAACAATGGGAGCACTTGCTGGCTTCCTGCATCCTGCATGCACATGGGAAGCGACACCAGTGGTGATCTGATAACCCAGAAGAGCCAATTTTTATTATTCAGTCAGTTATAATAACTGAGGTCTGATTTCATGGACTCAGACCATGTTATGAGGTCCGACTGAATCACATCACTGAACCTTCATGAAAATCTGCTTTTGAAAAAATAAGATAACCATTTTCACTTAAGCACGTTCAAAACATTGATTTACAGCTCTTATGTTTGCATCCCAAACAATTTACACTTCTTCATATTTCCAATTTTAAGAACACAAAGCTATTTTGTTTATTCCATACTTTGAGTGTGAACCATATTTCATACAAATATTTAGCCAAACTACTTGCTTTTCATTGGAATTCATTTTCATTTTGTAAAACGGTGGGTTTATGGCTCATCTTGTAAATGTAACTGAGCTAATAACGCTACGAAAGGCCTGAAGTTTTATTGAAACCATAACAGTAATTCAAACAGATGTGAACTAAATGGAACATTCCATGAAATCAAGGTCTCCTGGCTTTGTAATTAGAAGCACTGCCAATAAATCTGTATTTTGCATTTAAATTACATCTTGTGTTAGAGCAACAAAAACGAGTGATTTGTTTTCACAAACCTGGTTCTTTCAGAGTTCTGTTATTCAGACGGTTTATCATTCACAGTCAATAACAACTACTGCGACTTGCATTTATATAGATCCCTTCACGTGGGGAGTCAGTAACAATAGAAACAAGTGTCAGTGATCAATCAATCAGAACTCTGAAGGTGCCAGAGGGCTGGAGAGTGGCTAATGTTACTCCCCTACAAAAAGGGGCAGAAGAACAAACCTGGGAACTACAGGCCAGTCAGCCTAATGTCAGTAGTGGGGAAACTCCTGGAGACTATAATCCGGAACAGAATAAACATAAATGATCTGGACTTGGGTATAGCAAGTACCATTTCCAAGTTTGCGGACAAACTTGTTTTTGTTGCTCTAACACAAGATGTAATTTAAATGCAAATTAATTAGGTAATAATAATAATAATCCTTGAATTTGATATAGCGCTTTTCACGTCGGGAGGACGTCCCAAAGCGCTTCACAGAACACACTGTAAAGTGAATTGACTGTATATTTGTGTCCCACAAACAGTCGTAGATTGAAAATGACCAATTTATTATTGTTTTTTGGTTTTGGAGGGATTATTATTAGGCGTGTGGAGTAAGGAAACTTGCCCAAGGTTTCGCCCTGACTGGAATTGAACTCGGGTCTCTCGCTTCCAAAGCGAGTGCTCTAACCACTGAGCTACAGGACTCCACGGTAGGGTGGTAAATAGTGAGAAGGATAGCAGCCAACTGCAGGAAGACAAAGACAGAATGGTAAAATGGGAAGACACATGGCAGATGAGTTTCAATGTGGAAAAATGTGAGGTATTGCATTTTGGAAGAAAGAATGAGGGGAGGCAATATAGGCTGGTAATACAATCTTAAAGGGGGTAAAAGAACAGAGAGACCTGGAGGTGCAGGTAAATGAATCCTTGAAGGTGGCAGGACAGGTAGATAAAGCTGTAAAAAGGGCATATGGGATACCAGGCTTTATAAGTAGGAGCATAGAGTACAAGAGTCAGGAGGTTATGATTAACCTATATAAAACATTGGTTAGGCCTCAGTTAGAATGCTGCACCCAGTTTTGGGCGCCACACTATAGGAAGGATGTTAAGGCATTGGAAAGGGTGCAGAGGAGATTTACGAGGATGGTGCCAGGAATGAGGGACCTTGAATATGAGGAAAGGCTAGAGAGGCCGGGATTATTCTCATTGGAGCAGAGAAGGTTACGAGGAGACCTAATAGAGGTCTTCAAAATCATGAAGGGATTTGATAGGTTAGAAAGGGAATAACTGTTTCCACTGGTGGGTGTGCCGGTGACTCGAGGTCACAGATTTAAAATAGTCTCTAAAAGAAGCAGAGGGGAGGTGAGAAGACATTTTTTCACGTAGCGAGTTGTTCGAATCTGGAACGCATTGCCTGAAAGGGTGGTCGAGGCCGATTCAATAACTACTTTTAAAAACATGGTGGATGGGTATTTGAGGAGGACGGGTTTGCAGGATTATGGGGAAAGGGCTGGGGAGTGGGATTGCCATTACATTGCTCTTTTCAAAGAGCAGGCACAGACTCGATGGGCCGAATGGCCTCTTTTTGTGCTGTACGATTCTATGAAAAGAATCTTGGATGGCAAATATTGAGTGAATCAAGAGGTTCCATTCTTGTACATCTCTAACGATTTGGTTTGCAAAGTAATTGATGCCATTATTAACACCAGCACTTCCAGCTAAACAAGTCTCCAGTGAATTTTATTGTGAATGTTAAATCGGAATTGAGTAACAAATGTTTTGAACGAATGAAGTGCTGTGTTTATACTGGCAAGAGAAAAACCTCGAAAACTCTTGGCAGGATGGCAATATGGAGTAGGAAGCCCAATCTTTAGTTCCCGTTCCTCGTTATAATAAAACAAATCCTTGCATTTGATATAGCGCTTTTCACGTCTTCTAGACGTCTCGAAGCTCTGAGTGGAAACCTCCCCAACCTCTCCACAAACTTTCTCACCCAATGTTGATGTACTGTGAGCAAGTGAGCAAGTGCAGCACGCCAGACTTGGCCATTTGTTTTTTCATCTTTCATCAGAGCCAGTTGATTGAGTGGTTGTTTAATAATTTTTTGTCAGCTGGGTTTCTAACAGATGTGGAACACACCACCATGCTCAAGAGTCTCCAAACCAAACTACTACAAGTTCTACATATGTGTGGTTTCCATTTTTCTGGTACGGAGTGCGCATTCTCTCCCCAGAAGAATATAACCTATTTTAGAGAGTTTAGGCACAGGTAGGCAAGAGCCAAGGTTTGGGTGACCTCAAGATTGTGTGTTGGGGCACCGCTGGATCGAACAGCAACAGCTTTCCTCAGCTTGTCCATCTTGGACCTCCTTACACATTAGGGCTGTGCCTTGCAGGGTTAACAGGAAAGGAGTGGAAAGAATCCCAACTCCCAGTGAATTGTCTGCTCATCCACGTCCTGCTGACAAGCCAGGCTGGCGAGCCCATCAACAGCAGTGCTTTGGCGTGCTTCTGCAATAACACTAAAAACGAACGGCTTGAGAGCTCCAAACATGGCTTGGGGAGTGCTATTTGTACCTGCTGTGTTTGAGATTGAACCGTTTCAAACGAGATGTCGCTGTCTGAGCCCTGACGTTCTGCCCCCTATTTGTACAATCCCAACCCCCAGCTCGGGTCCAAGTCCTGACTGTCCAGCGCCTTGGGAAGTCCTCCGACGTGAAAGGCGCTACACAAATGTAATTTTGTATTTTTTTTTGTACAGCAGAGCACTGCCAAAAATCACAGTGCCTGCAACTGTACAGGATTGATGCAGCAATCCATCAGCGCTCAAGTAAATTAACACCTTCCTTCTTGAGAATATGAGGCTAGAAAATGTAAAAGCA